TGTTCCAAAAAATATGCGTTTTTTTAGGATACCTTCTACTATTTTCGCTTTTCTATTTCAAGTACAAAAATAAAGAGAAAGCAAAAAACTACCTCCCCCCCCCCACCAAACAGTGTTTGGTATTTGTAAAAAAGTTTCAACTCGATTGAACATAGTATCTTGAAGAAACAGAGACGAAACTTAGGGTAACTTTTCCCAATTGAAATCCCAATACCTGATCGGAGACAGTATCAGGATGTGACGATTTTAGATATAAGAGTAGATAGCGCCGGTGCAGTTAGTCTTTATTTGGCTTATTCGTATGGTTAATTGCATCGTTTACATCAAAAACATGCGTTTATATGCGCAACCATGACAGATAAGAAAAAGGAGAGAGAATAAAACAAGATATGAGTCAAGGAGAGCGAGATGGTTAACGATACGCAGCTACAATAGAGAAAAGAGTAAAGCATGTGATAAGAAAATATGATAAGAGAAAGTTATACATCATGTATGGACCATCAATAAAACCTAGTAAAGAGTGTAGATAATGGTGCACAATAGATCTAACTGAGACCGTCATACCGGGAACTTTGAATCTATAACAACTAGTGCTCCACTCATCAAGACCAATCTTGAGGGTGTTGGTGTATGGCTGTAGAGTGTGGGGTAGGTGTAGGGTCTGACGGTGATTTAAAAGGTCTACACCCCACACTCACACAATGACTTGTTTAGGTATAACAAGTGATAATCGGACAAGACAAGCGCATGGTATTGCAATTTTCCTTAACCGACAAGCAAATAGAACATGGAAGAACCTTGGGTCAACTTGGGAAGCAATTGATGAAAGAATTTTGACTATAAGACTTGAATGCAAATTTGTCAATATCACACTTATATGTATCTATTCGTCAGTTAATTCAAATGGGCAAAAGGTGATTATCAAGATCGTTGATGCCTTCTATACTAAACTGCAAAAGACAATTGACGATGTGCCGAAAGACAATATGATATTAGTAATGGGGGGTCCAATGCAAGGGTTGGCGCGCAACAGCATCAAACAGCACGAGACGTTGTAGGACCATACAGTGAATCACATTAACGAAAATGGAAAATGGCTAAGCTATTTTTTTCATTGAACAACCTCAATATATTGTAACGCCTTTGTCCGACATAAAAATATCCATAAAATTTCTTGAATGCATCTTGGTAACGAAAAATGGCACCTGTTTGATTACACATTAGTAAGCAGAAAAATTTTGATCAAGTGTAGACGATGTACGAATCCATCGTACAGCAGCTGTCGCAATCAGTACAGGTCATCATCTACTTCGAACTAAACTCAAGTTTCATTAAAGAAGCAGCATGAAGATAGTCAAGCAAAAGTATAATCAACTTGATAAGAGTAAAACTAGAAGATGAAGAACTTGTCAAAATATTTCAAAATGAACTGGCAAAAGGACCAGCTCAGTTCATCGCCTCAAATAAAAATACTAACAAAAAATACGCCAATTTCGCTCACTACGTCAAAAACGTAAGTGAAAAACTTTTCAGTAACAATAACATTGCCAAGAAGCAAAAAGAATGGATAACTGAAGAAATAGTTGAAGTCGTTGACAAAAAAGAAAAAGCCTTCCTACAGTGGTACAACAATCGCCACATGAAATATGGATTCAAATAGCATAATTAATAACGTAGATTAAGAAATTTGACGGTTGTGGCGTGTGAATGCAGTCGGATATGGTGATGGATGCTGGACGGCTTAACCCAGGTCGACGATTACGGACTTCGTATACGACTGTAATAGGCCGTATACGACCTCCATACGATCGTTTACGGTCGTATTTTACCGTAATACATGGCTCAGTATTACGATCGTATATCGTCATGACCGTATACGCTGGGATACGAATGTTTACGAAGAAATACGGAGTAAAACGATTACCGTATACGGACTGCGTATACGAAAATCGTAAACGACCGTGCTTGTTCGATCTGGGAAGAGGAGACCCACACTCTCATCCTCAAATTGAAATGTGATCTTGAATCACGTAATGGCATCAAGTAATGTAATGTGGACGGTAATAGAGATGTTGGCCGTAAAAAGCTCGAAAAGAAAAGCTTCCAAAAAAATATATTGATGTGGAAAATGATTGAATAGTGTTTTCTGAATTTTTGACTGACGATGGACATACTTTATTGTGTGAAATTACTCTAATATTCTAACAGAAGTCAAGAAGTTAAAAAAGAAAGCTTTAAAGTGCCGTTATTTTTCGTTCACCAAATGTAAATAATCAACCGTCTAACTGTCACAAAGCACTTACAACACAATCATAATACTGTTCGTCAAGATGGTCCATGAGACATGTAATCGTGATCGCTTTTACTTGCTTTGTTATTTTTCTAAACTTGAATTAAATTGAATGTGCGTATATGGTGAATTGTAATTGACTTAGGTCTAGTAAAGAAAGAGTAACGGCAGCCATGAAAATAGAACTTTAGTGGCATAATAGTTCTTTATTAGGCTCTTTTAGTTAATCTATATCAAATAGTACTCATCACCATTACTACTGGTTACGAATCTAGACTAGTAAAATAATAACAAAAACCAACAACGAACTATAGGTACTTAGAATCACCATCTATTGGAGACATTGCTTTTTCAATATTTTACTGTTTCGATGTTTTTTACGTATACCAATAAAGATGAAAGATTCTTTTTCGCATAGCCTGTCAAAGAAAAGGTATTTTCACTCGCAACAGAAGTGATAGGGACTATCCATAAAGAATGTCAAGGTGAAAGGAGAAAAGAACATCACAATACTGGGAAGCTCTCGACGAAAGGGAGGGGGAGGTCAATAGTTTCTCTATGTCCAGAGATTTCAGATGAATAGTTTCCTTTTTCTCAAAAAACTTTGGGTGAAATCTTGAAGCTTCATTTATTTTGACAAGTATCATTGAATAGAAAATGAACTGAATAAATCAGTTGAATATGAATGTAGTGTTGAAATAATTCAAGACTATATTGCATGGACAACTTACTATTTCCCACTTATTAATGTAGAGTGTATTAAAACAGAAGCGTCACTATAGGTTATATTTTTGTTTGTTATGACTCAAAATCACATTTTATTTTTTTTAATACTCATCACTATTTCTGGCACATTTATTGAATGAACTGCCATTTAATAAAAAGACATTGGCATATTTCAGCAAGCAAGCTCTTTCGCGAAAGTTCTTCTTTTATACTGGATGTATAGGAAGGCTAGAACATCAGTGAAACTAGACACACTCGAACGGACGTAGGAGAGGCGACGAAACCCTCGATTTACACCTAGATATTTTGGATGTAATGTACGTGATACACTCCTATGTAGACAAAATTCAGTTGGTTCTCACTGTAGAGTGCAATTTTAGTTCGATGATCACCTACTATCAATAATTGTATGAGAAAAGAACGGCGGAGAATCTCATCGAAATCGATCTCTCTTGATGCGCTTATTTAAAAAATGACTAGAGTAATCTCTTTTGATTGTATTTGATCGAAAAATCAATATTGGTCGATGGCTCTACGAAAAAGTCAATGATAATCAGTTATCATACGGAAAACATTTTGAAAGCCCACGAGATTATAAAAAAATCCCTATATTTACTCGATCAAAGTTATTTGAGAAATAAAGAATCGTAATAATTGATAAAGGGCTTAATCATTATCTAAGCGAACTTTATTTTCTAGGATTAGAACACAAACGGAACATAATAAATCAAAATTAAGTGATTGCCATTCTAATCAATTGAAACCGATTATATTTAAAATTTTGACTCTGTATCGGATGTGACCTGCCATATGAATCAATTTCTTGAAGTCATAAAAAATGACCACAACCTAATTTTAGGTCTCATTTTTATATTGGACGAAACACAAGATATCTACGAAATCATGAAGCTTTTCGATATAATGTTGTTACTAGTGCATTTCACGAGAACATTTGAGTTTTTAAATCCAGTAGCGTCTCGACAAGTAAACAGCTCGACATATCTTCGTGAGCGAGTCTTCAGCTTTGTGTTCGATCGATACTGATTGGTCAGAACATTCTATTTTTGACGCTCGACAAAATAAATAACAGAATAAAATAAATACAAATAAATTGATATCATTGTACGCTCATCTGTTGCATTTATATGTACACAGACAGTTAGAATTTCCAGTTAGTGGTTTCGATTCTAATTATGAATTTAATGCAACAATAAATTAAATTCCATATAGATTAACAGGAAAATATAATCCCTATCCAATGGTATGTTACGTATTGTGACGCTGAGTGATAAAGGAATGACTGTGGACGAGAAATGAACACAAAACTGAAGAAGATTAACAAAAAGAAAATTGGCAAAGACTGCAACCAGTATAGAAACTACAAAAGACGAAAAGCACATCTAGGCGATTGATGAATGCAGAAAATATGTGAAATCAATATGTAGTCCAAGACGCATACTGTTTTGAGCTATTCTTATTTCTTCTAGTGCTGTATTGACAAACTTTTTCTATCTACCAATGATGGCGTGGGAACTGACAGTGTACGTTTTAGTGGCAACCTGTCTTGATTTTCTTGAACACACATTGCCAAAGTTTCGACATTTTCACTTTTACCAATATTTCAACAACTATTTTGCTGCAAGCTTTTTGCATACTACACTTGCCCATCTGATGGTGCTATACTTTCTTCATACACAATGTAAGCACGATGCAGGCACTAGCTTTGTGCTGATCAAATTAATGGGAAATTCGACACTTTGTTATTGAAATATCATACACTTGTGGAAGATTTATGCCGTAATCCGATATTGATTGATAGGATCACCGAAATGAACAGATATAAAATGCAATCGGAATTTATCATCTACTCTTCATTGTGGCACCACACACTTAAATGGTAAAAATGATGCATTGTATTATTCTTCTATTTCTTGGCGCTCTGTTGTCGGTTACGAAGTGTGAACCGTCAAAAGATTTTGGTAGCATGATTTTTTATCTTACTAGTCGCCATCCAAGCGATTACAATCGCTATGGATGCTGGTAAGCGTGAAAAGTCGAAAATTTTTCCTTAAGTGACTATTTATATTCAGGTGTAATACTGGTGCTTCAAAAGATACTCACAGCATAACTATTGACGAAACAGATTCTTGTTGTAAAATGCAACTGGAATGCTATGACAGGATACAAGGAATGAATGCATCCTTCATGACTGATTGGAAATATCGTGCGATTTATTATGACAATCAAGTTCAATGTGTTGACCTTGATGGAAGTTCAAATCGCGATTTGTGTTTGTGTGATAAACGCGCTGCTGAATGTTTCAGAGGAGCGCTCTCCACATCCAGTTACAATAAAAAAGACATGAGTTTGTCATCAACTTGTCAACCAACAGGTTAGTAACAATTTGTATGTTTCGTGTCAAAAAAATTAAGATCCTTGAAAGAATGAGCCATGCTAGATGGATTAGTCTGAGTATTATTCAATTAGTTAATGGGAGAGTATTAGTGCTTTCAGTCCAAAGTTTATGAAAATGGGCTCAACTCTAATAACGAATCCTCATGGAAGATAGTCACTTGTAGAGCTAAATAGTTTCGATATTTTCTAGCTCCAACCCCAGCTCCAGTCATAGACTTATTAACCATCAAATAGCTATATGTTTAATCTGGAAGTTTTTCCAGACAGAGGGATGTATTTTCAATGACGTTCAGTTAAATAGACTAGTTTTGAATCATACAAAAATTCGCGTTGAGCATGTTTAAAGTTACGAATAAGTTTTTACTTGAGATACTTCAAGACTAACACATCCGTACGTTGTAGACGGATGGGCCGAACGTTTTTGGACGCTATCTTTGTTCAATTATCGAGAATGTGAAATAAAGTGCTGTCGTCTTATGAACAACGAATCTCGCAATAATTCGAAAAAATCTTTTTCAAATTCCCTTGCTTGATTTCTTCCTGACTAAAAATTTATTCTCGTCCATTTCTTTAAAAAATCGTAGAAAAGCCAAAGTTCAAATGGCAATTACCTCAAGTCTTCACTTTAAACCTTGTATGCATACGAATTTTTTTGTTTTTTTGAGATTTGAGTTCTTTATATTCACTGTTGCAGTTTATTCTAACTCTTGCGTATTTGAGCCATAGTGTAATCATTCAAGGTCAAAGTTTTTACTAAGTAAAAATTCTTTTGTCTATTCTGAACACCAAAATGGTAGGAAGGTCATTTTTAAAAAAAACGATTCTGAAGCAGTGTTGAGGTAAATAGTGAGAAAACTACAATCCTCTATCCTCCACAGGCGATGGCACACCGATGGTATAGTGTCATGATATTTTCCGAGCCATGATCTTATGGGTTTTTAGACGACATAGTTTTGGAATTTTTGCATCATCGAATGTCGTAAAAGAGATACTTTAGGTTTTTGATACACACATATTTAAGATCCCTGCAGCCAAAAAGTCGATTTCTCTCTTTTTCGTCCTGAGGTTGTATCAGTGTCTGGTGTGAGATGACGATAAAGAAGTGATAGCTACGTCGACATCACACTCACACTCACACCCCACACACCTCCTAATGGAATACATGAGACAGAAGAAACAAAACAAAAGAAAAAAAGATATCCAACAATAACTATTGAATAGCCCATTTTTCATTTTGACTTCTACTTGTGAGGGTAAAAATGCAGCATCGATTTCGCCTACAAATATTTCTATTTCTGTTGATAAGAATTCATTTCTGCTAGAATTTCTCTTAAGGATGAAAAAGTGATATGATCGATATCCCCTTAAGTCTTTTCAACTTCTGCTTATGAGGATAGAAATGGATGGTGGATTTCATCCTGCCGTGTGTTCGATTTCCCTGATGTGAATGGTCTGATATAAGTTATGTTGTTTTTTAAAAACCGTTTTTGATTGCAAGGAAACTGTTTGCCGTTTTTAGGGATATTGTCTCGTCCTCGGTGGGAAGTGGGAGAAGGGGAGTGAGAATCGAATTGCTTCGAACCAGAACCTCAAAATAGTTACCAAGCTCTCTGAGTTTAAGATCCAAGAAAAACACTTTATAGAAGAGCACAACAAAGTATTGCTACATTGAAAGCTATATTCTTTTCTTTTATCGTTACAGTTACTGATACTAGTTTCCGCTGGGAACCAGCCGGAATTACAGTCGCCGGCACCACTGGAGTGGCGGGTGTTTCCCAAGACCTATTGAATCGTCCTTACACATTGGCATTCGATTCGACCAATGCGCTATATATCTGTGATCATTTTAATAGTCGAATTCAAAAATGGATTCTGGGCGCTTCAAATGGTACCACTGTTGCTGGTCAATCAAATGGAGCACTTGGTTCTAGTGCTGCCCATTTATATCGTCCTGGCGGGATTGCCATAGACTCGGATGGAAATGTACTCGTGGGTGATACCTATAATCATCGTGTTCAAATGTGGCAACAAGGCGCATCAACGGGTACCACGATAGCTGGAGCAACAGGTATGGAAATTCAAGAGAACTTCTGAATATAATAGGCAGGTTAAATCCGTCTTAAGACGAAAGCTATTCCACGAAAGCTGGAAATGCCTTTGTGTTACCATATTTTCTGCTTCGGCTTACGAACTGATATATTAGCAAAGAGAAACTGTGGATTGTATGATTTTCTTCAATATTGGCGAATGTTGGACTAATGCTATTTTGAATAACACCCATATTGCTTCATTGATGTAAGGAAACATGAAGAAGAAAGACAGTATAGTTTACTAGAACAGAAGGATGATCGATCTTAACGAAAGAAAAAGAGTGATCATGTGGGATTGATATTATTTTAGGCGCGAAGATGCCTTTAATGATTGGTTACTATAATCAAAGCACTTTTTTATTCATAGCACTGCAAATAGGTGTAATTTGGTAATCACATGCCACGAGAGGGTGGGGGTGTGAGTATGGTAAACAGAATAGCTACACCCATACGCAGACTCACACCCACACCCTTATCTGTAGAACATGATGGTGACATGTTTTTACAAGGGCATCGCTTCGCATGAATGAAAGGCGAAACAACGTAACTTTTCTGTAAATGGAAAGCAGCGAAAACAGCGACATGAGGCTTTACAGGGAAAAGAAGAAAGAGCACAAAACATGTGTTGGCTAAAAGTAGAATCAAATCAACCTCTAGATTACTTATACTTACCTTCAGACACCCCTCATGCTGTAAAACTTTCTGAACACCTACGGTGGTACATGTTTCTTCTAAGTCATAATTCAACCGATTATATTCACGTGATTTTATTCAGGTAGTTTTGGCTTGTCAAATGACCGACTGTATAATCCATTTGGTATTGCACGTGATCCAAGAACGGGTGCACTTTATATTGCTGATCGTGACAACCATCGTGTGATGAGCTATTTACCGGGCTCATCGTCAGGTACTGTTGTTGCTGGTGGCAATGGACCTGGTGTGAAGAATACGCAGCTGTACCTTCCTATTGCTGTTCGTTTTGATATGTCAACAGAAAGCCTTGTGATTCTCAACTTTGGAGCAAACAATATAGTGCGTTGGAAATTGGGAGAAAGTAATTGGACACATGTTGCTGGAAATATACACGGTGGCTGGGGAGTAACATCCATGCATCTCAACGCTCCTCACGATATGGTTCTTGATCATTGGGGCAACATTTATGTAGCAGATACCAACAACCACCGTATACAATTTTTCAAAGCTGGAGAAACAAATGGAACAACTATTGCTGGTATTACGGGTGCAATCGGTAATGTTCCAACACAGCTTCATGTTCCACAACTCGTTCAAATATTATAAACTTCATTAAGATCCTAATTCAAATGGATACATGAAGACTTCACTTACCAAGCTCGTAATATATGACCTGCTACTCATATGGGTTGGCCATAGACAAGGAACTCAATTTATACGTGTCAGACTCATTCAATCATCGAGTCCAAAAATTTTTGCGCTACTGAAATGAACTTGAGCTAGTGGTTCAGCAACAAAGAGCTTCGTAAGAATGCTAATTGAGAATATTTCTATTTCGTTTAATGTATGTATTACTGTTAAAATATGTTGCTGCTACTATCTTACTAAAGAAGAAATTGCAACTAATTGCTTTCATAAGCAAGATTCAATTAATATTTTTCAATATTTTGGTTATACTCATTCAGATAAGTTGTTCACGTTACGAAACTGGATCAGAGCTTAAAAATTTCCTTCATACATCTTTGTGTAGAATTTGATGTACTGATCACGAATATGTGCTTTCAAATATGTAGGTAATACTGTATGCGAGAAAAATTGGCACGACTTCACAGATTTTGGAAATCGAAACAACAACTTTAATAAGCCGAAATCAAGGCTTTACTCATTGACCATTAGTGCATGCCAATTGCTATAGTACTCTCTAAAAAAACAGTATTCCAAAACACCCATACAAGGCTTCCGATATATCGTAAACTCAAAAAAATCAATCACAATAAAACTGCCAATACCGATCTCGAAAATCGATCACAAGTTTTTGAGATTCCAATCCTCTAGTTCTGAGTGAAAAACAAACCTAAAGCGATGAATAGTTCTTTAATTCACATGCACAACTTATTACTTGCACGATGCTCATGCAAACTTCAGATGAAAGAGACGAAACTATTAGTTTTTATATATCGAAATGAGACTTACATTCACATGAATTCGTTGATGATCTAAAATGAAAACAAAACAAAACAAGCTATTGGTTTTTATATCCATCTGGCCAAAATAAACGGAAAACTTTATTTTTTCGATTATTTCTTCCGAGCAACGTGGTTTGTGCTCGTATTTGTATCACTGATAGATAGTTAATTGCTTGACTTATCCTGAAACTTTCCAAGAAAAGTAAAAATATTTTTCATGCACTATGTGCTACTGAAACGATAATTTACTATTTTGGTTTTTTTCTGTGATTGTAGTCTCCATTTGGAATCTCTGGTTGTAATTAGTTAACCTGTGTATTTGACTACAGCATGAAAACATCTTTGACGGTCTTCAAATATCATATGGTCGTCGAATTACTAGTAACAACTGTCGTTAAACGAAAAAATATCGAATATGGATTTCCTTTTATTTTCATTACATTTAAATTATCGTTTTTCTTATGAATGATTGTAGTGCTTGAATATTGCTGCCTATTGAGTTTTGATCGCAGTAAAAAAATGTCAGGCCACTTGGCTGTTCAGCAGAGATAAAGAGATCAAATGTTGCTTTTATTTATGCATCCTTTGAGTGCCATTTCGTCCTATAATTGACCATATGGTATACAAAGATCGTCAAAGATGTTTCCATTCTGTAATCAAGTATATATGTTAACTAATAACCACCAGAGATTTCAAATGAAGATTAAAATCACAGAAAAAAATAATAAAACAGTAAATTTTCGTTTCAGTGGCACATGAATGCATGACACATACTTTTAATTTTCTCGGAAATTTTCAACTCTGTAATCCTGAAACCTTCAGGATAAGTCAAGCCATCAAACATCTATCAGTGATATAAATATGAGCACAAACGACGTTATTGGCAACAATTGATAGGAAAAATAAAGTGTTCCGTCTATTTTGGCCTGATAGGAAAATGAGACTTAGGATGTGTGGGTATGGGTGTAGGTGTTGTTGAAGAGAAAATTCTACTATCCTCATTCACACACCACAGCAACAGCAAAACACCCATAACCGTTCCGGTAAGGGCAGAATGTTAGAGTCGACCCATCGCATACAAAGAAAACAGACTTAAGGAATTATAGTCTTCATCTTTTCCATGAAAACTGCTCTGACGAGCATACTCTTCATTAATAGTCAAGGGATTAAGGCATTGTTTGTGTTATAGATATTTTTCTTCTACATGACCTGCGGAAGACGTCCACTAGCGATTTCAGCAGCTCTCACCACAAGCTACAAATGTGAGATATAAATATTCTCTTAACGTCAATTATTTGATGGTGTGATTGTGTATGTGGATATAGATGAAAGAAATACATTCCTACTCATACACACACACTTTGAATCATTTTTTCTACTTGATACATGTTTTCACTGTTTCCTTATCCTTTTATTTCGTCACTTCTTAAACGACAAACGAAAAGAATGCTTAACGTCGTTTTGTTTTTGTTATGAAGCTTACATGTTCAATGGCAAGTAGAAATACAAAATTTGCCTTGCATATTCAGTGTTATTCTTTGTTTTACAATGAGAAAAGTCAATATTTGTTCTGTCATTACGATCGTCCATTGAAGGAGCAAAATTCAGCATAGATTTATTTTTGAATAGAAAAGATTTCATTGGTGATTATTGTTAAAAAAACATTTTCTCATGAGATCCATGTAAAAGTACCACCTGATGAATTTTTTGCGTTTACGTCTTGCAGTTTCATTGAAAAGATGATGTCCTGCTTCTAATGCTCTGTATGTTTTACATTAAAAGTAAACGAAAACGATGTACTAATTTATGACAAGCTATAAAGAATAATGAACGTACTTCATTTATTGTTCACAACGAAAATGAAAACAAGAAACAAGCCGTAGTCGTTCGATTGTTTTTTGTTGAAAGAGGATGAGTAAAGTTTTGCAACTAAACACTTTTGGCAATCAAGCTTCAGAATAGGTTTAAGAATAATTTCCTTTTTCAAATTATATCAACAAGGAAGAGTCTCTATATCACACGATCCTTGTAAGCAGAGTATGAACTATTAACAGCAACATCATATATTTTTCAGAAACATGAGTGATCGTACTAATGGTATTTTGGAAAAAAAAATTAGTATTTATTATTCAGCAACCTAGAGATTTTTCACTTTATCAGGTCTTTATGAAAGAGCAAGTTCATGCAAACAAATCAAATACAATTTTGTCGCCGATTTGTATAGCTTTCAGAGAAGAAGAAAGAAAGAGAGAACAAATATATAAGTAGTGTCCCACTTCGCCCTATTTCGCACAAACAAACCGAAAAAAACAAAGAACCGATCAATTCAAAAGTGAGCATTGCTTTGTTTGCTTTCAATTTTTTCAGCCGCATTAAGTTGACTACTAATTCTTATTGAGAAAGAAACTAATACGTGGTAACAAAGTCCTTATTTCAATATATATTTGTCCTCTGCCTATGTGCATCATTGAGGCAGTCTGAAACAAGGCCTGAAACTGCCTGAAATAGTCAAAACGGTATAATTAGTATCCTAAACGACAAAAAAACGGTAGGCATTTTCGCCGTATCTGACAGCTTTCTTTCAGCTCAGATTATGGGCCGTTTAAGACCGTTTCTGTCGACTAACGATGAGTGGTAATAGAGCCCTATTATAGATGTATTTATGTTCTTTGCTTCGTTTTTTGTTCTTTACGACTCACTTAATCTATCTCGATTCAGTTTTATATTTCACTCTACATATGTTTCCTGATAGTATGAGATATATTGTTATATACATAGGATCTTTACATACAAATGAACATGCCAAAATTTGTACAAAGCATCAGAATAACAATATGTACATACAAAGAGACGGATTATTTATTTAAAAAGAAAGTAAACGATGCTTTCCAAAAAGATTAACTCATCATTATAAGATTCACTGAGTTCAAATTCAAAACATTTGTGAATAAGAGCATTGCCATCGGCATTTTCTTCTGGTTGCAATCGTTTTCGAGCTGTTATTATCGATATGAAATGGCAAGATCAGGACTAGACCTAATAGCCTTCTAATTGTGTATCAGTTCTTAAAAAGAATCAGCCCTATCACCTCATCTACGGTGTTTACCTATTACGAAAAACGATGAATGAATATTCGAACATGTGTGTTTTCTTTGAATGACTTGACAATCGAGAAGACGTTTATCATCATGAAGCATAACGAAGAAATCTTTCGGAGAGTTGTGCATCATATCATTGAATAGATCCCAATATAATATATGAAATAGCTCAGGAAAGTAAATCGTGATCTCACATTAACAAAAACAGTTACTAAAAATTAAAAAAAAGAGTGAAAAGAACTTTGATCTCAACGAAGAGTTTCATAGAATCATTTGCATATGCTCTAGTTGGTGATAATAGTTAATAGTATTTAGAGTTGTCTATAAATATTATTAAAAGGTGTTCAAAGATGATTTTTAGACACTTCTTTAAAGCTATGAAAGTGCCATGAACACACTGAAAAACTAGAAGTTGTACAGACAAACGTTTCAAGTGGCACGTGAACGGTCACAGTAAAGGATATTTAGCCTCTTAGAAATTTTATCTCAATAAATCTTAGTGAGTAGGAGGATCCTATAGCAGCTTCAAAACTATTCATTTTTGTTGCCTTATATCTTTCCGAAAAAAAGTCATCAAATAAAGATGAAAAATTTGAAATTTACTCTTGGATTAATAATAAGATCTTGTGAAGAGTTTATGTTAAGATTAGAAGATTATCTAGTAATAAAGTGCCTGAAAAGATTGAAATCAGAGAAAAGACGTGTAAGTTTTCGATATGTTCAACACAACATTTTCAAACATAAAAAAAAGAAAAAGTGTTAGAACTATATGTAAACATTCTCTTTTTTCTGTCTTATAGTAATGTTGATAAACATTGCAATGCAAGGGAGAGAAAAGTATGTTGTTGTCGCATTTCAGTGTTTGTCAACATTACTATAGAAAGAAAAAAAAGAATGTTTACATATAGTTCTAGCACTTTTTCTGGCTTTTATGTTTGAAAAAATGGTGTGTCGAATGCCTCTAAAGGTTACACGTCTTTTTTTTTGAATAAAAGTAAAAAAATGATAAACGAACTCATATTATTAGCATTGTCATTTATTA